GAATGCAAAGTCATCTCATGATTGTATCTCTTTTAGCCCATATTTGACAATCATTATTTGATAAAAACAATGTTTTGAAAAGTGATTTTTAGAAGAATATGTAGTCAAAAAGTAGTAAAAAATTTTGAGTTTATGTGTAGAATATTTTATTGTGTGAATGTGTGGTTGCAAATGGGTATGTGAAAAAATGAATTTTCAAACAATAATTATCAAGGAGGGACCTAATGGAGGTAGTTACTAATTACTATTAGATTTTTCAGAAAACACAAGTAGATATTGATTACTTTACTATCAAATATAGAGAAATGTGTGACAAATGAAAATGCATCAGAACATCACAAAACTAGTATTTTATAAGAATAATATTACTTGTAAATAAGGAGTTATAAAAAGTTTTACATATAGAGGAGGTGTCAAGAAGAAAGTAGAGAAGGTTTTTTTTTTTTTTTTTGTTAAAGAAATGATGATTCACTCGTATATAGGGATGCCAACGAGCCGAGCCACAAGCAGAAATTCGAAGCTCGGGCTTGGCTCGAGCAAAAATGGTTCGAGTTTTTTTTTTGCCCGAGTCGAGCAAAAGCTCGACCAAAAAATTTAGGCTCGAGCGGAGCCGACTCGATTTTTTTTTTTAAATTCATTGTTAAATCTAATTTTTTAATTAATGAATATGTATTAGAAATATTAACATATAAAAAAATACAGCTAAAATTTAAAAAACTTAAAAAATAATAATAATAATAAATAAAAACAGCATGCGACTGTGACTGATGACAGCTGCCTGCGTTGCAACTGTCAGTTGTCCACAAGCAGCTTTAATTTTAGCTGCTTGCAAACTATTTTTTTAATTTTTTTTTCAAAACTCGAGCTGCCCTGTGACACGGGCCGATGACGAGTCGTCTTAGCCGACGAGCCATATTGACATCCCTACTCATAAATCACCATATTATATGTATGCAGATCAATTTTTATAAGTGGTGAAGTACATGTAACACAACCGAGTTTATAATTAATATAATTTAAGAGGTTAGGCTAACACTAAAAGGTAACTTAAAAGTAATTAAGTTTAACAATCTATAATTTTTTTAATTGGTGAGTGAAAATAAGTTACTTATCTTGATAGTAAGATAAGATTTATATTCAAAACTAATTGCCATCTTTCACAAATAAAAAATTCGATTTTAAAAAGTAACTTTCTTACTTAGCTCTCGTTTGGTATTGATTTAAATCAGATTTTAATTTAAGTCAAAATCAAACAATTAATATTAACAATATATTTTATGGGTCCCACAATTTTTCATCCACACATTTTAAAATTTTTTATCAAAATCTATTAAAAATCTAATTTTAATTCCACTACACAGGGGCTTAAAAGTAAGTTTAGAGGGGAAAAAAAAAAGTTGCATTCCTCTTATAAGCAAGGCCTTTATATTCCTTATTTCTTTGATGGGTTTCGAAGTTGTGATGTCATTTGATTTGCATGCAGGGTGGTGTGAACTTAAAAACCTCCAAGAACTAAATTTGAGTTGGAATGAGTACGAAGGNACTTAAAAATCTCCAAGAACTAGATCTGAGTTTGAATGAGAACGAAGTAATACTTCCATCATGTGTCTCAAACATGACATCTCTTAGATTGATTGAGCTCTCTAACAACAAGTTCACCGGAAATATTGCCTCGTCTCCACTTTCTAAACTCACATCACTTGAATATCTCTCCATTTCAAGTAATAACTTTCAAGTTCCAGTTTCTTTCAAGGCGTTCTTTAATCATTCAAACTTCAAGTTTATATTTTTGGAAAACAGTGAAATAATAAATGAAAAGGAGTCGGGAAATTCTGTACCCAATTTTCAACTTGAGGTTTTTAGTATGTCAAATTCTAGTGGCCTTCAAACACTACCCAACTTCTTTTACTATCAATCCAACTTGAAATTTCTCCATTTCCAAAAGAACAACATAGGAGGGAATTTTCCAACTTGGTTGTTAGAGAACAACACAAAACTTAGGAGACTTTACCTGAGGGATAATGCTTTCACAGGAACTCTCAAGTTGCCAACAAGCACCAATCCCAACATGGAGACTTTTGATGTATCTAATAATAAGTTAAATGGACATATTCCAAATAATATAACTTCACTTTTTCCAAATTTGTATACATTAAATATGTCGACAAATATGTTTGATGGGCGTGTACCTTCTAGTTTTGGTGACTTAAAATCTATTACAGTTTTAGACTTGTCTAGTAATAACTTGTCAGGCACAATACCTCAAGAATTAGTTATGGGATGCTCTTCTCTGTATTTTCTCAAAATATCAGATAATAAAATGCAAGGACAAATATTTCCAGAATCTACCAACCTACTAAACTTGCGATATTTATATCTGGATAGCAATAAGTTCTCGGGCACCATTCCAAGTAGCTTGTTTCTCAGCTTTCTAAAGGTGTTAGACATTAGTAACAACAATTTGTCTGGCAGAATTCCCACATCAGTGGGTAATATGACAAGATTGGGACACGTTTCTATGTCTAATAACCAGCTTGAGGGTCCAATCCCGGTTGAAATTTGCAATCTCGATAATCTTCTCCTCTTAGATTTATCTGAGAACAAGTTATGTGGTTCAGTCCCATCTTGCTTCAATACATCGAGGATAAGACATGTCTATCTAAACAANTAACCATTTTGAAGGCACAATCCCTCGCCAATTTTGTGAGATGAACAAACTAAGCATGATCGACCTTTCTTCTAATTGGCTTTCGGGTGAAATCCCGCACTGCTTTGGTAACATAAAGCTGGAGGTAAACAAGGAGAAGTCTGACATGGGTATAGAAGCAACCGATTATCTATATGACACATTGGCATATGATATGGACGAGTTTGATTTAGAAATGGACTATCATGTGCATTATTTCGAAAATCCGGATTATATCCAATTAGCCGATATGCCAATTACAGCGACATTTGTCACAAAGAGAAATTCTTATTCTTACAAAGGCAACATCCTCAATTACATGTCAGGAATTGATCTCTCTTCTAATAAATTACATGGTGAAATTCCGGATGCCCTTGGGAACTTAAGTGAGATCCGCTCACTCAACTTATCCCACAACAATCTTGTTGGAACAATTCCAGCAACATTCTCAAACTTACATCAGATTGAGAGCTTAGATCTCTCCTATAATAGCTTAAGTGGGAGGATCCCCACTGGTCTGATCGAGTTAAATGCTTTGGCAGTCTTCAATGTGACGCATAACAATTTAACAGGTAGGATACCTGATAAACGTCAGTTTGGAACCTTTAACGAAGATAGCTATCTGGAAAATCCTCATCTTTGTGGTCGTCCATTATCTGTCGATTGTACTAGCACTGGATCAAGACCTGTCCTGCCATCTGCAGATGATGAAAGTGAGGAGCACTGTTTCATGGACATGGAGTACTTCTACATAAGCTTCATCGTATCTTATGTATCTGTAGTGCTTTGCATTGCTATAGTTCTGTACATAAATCCTCATTGGAGAAGAGCATGGTTCCATTTCATTGAGGTTTACATAATCCATTTTAGAAGCCGCATGTTCTAGACAATATTACCACATCC